AAAACCAGAGCAACCCCCCCCCCCCCCGCCTCCCCGGGTGGCTGGTGTGTCCCCGCTCTCTCCCAGCGCCGCGAAGGGGCCGGTGGCACTGCAGGGGCACGCAGCGTGGCGAGGGGTCCTGTCCCGCTGTGCTGGGGCCGTGGGTGTCTGTGGGGCAGTCCCTCAGGGGCGGAGGAGCTGGTCCTCCTCTCCTGCCCCAGCTCGAGATTGCAGCCGATATAAAAAATAAACCTCTGAATATATGGCAGAAAGGATGCAAAAGTCAGGCCCAGCACCTCCGGTGGCCAGCCCTGCTTCTGTAAACCATCGGGTGGCCCCTCCTGGGGGGGAACCCTCCTCTGGGAGCCCTCCTCCAGGACCTGCTTCCAGCTGCAGGACTGAGCCCCCAGTGCAACTGTGCTTTGTCCCAGGGCAGGACGGATGCTCTGCCCGGCTCAGCCACACACCGTGACTTCCCTAACAGGGTGCTTCATTGGGTTGTAATTCTCAAAGATGTGTTTTCGGATCTCCTGTCCCTCCAGCGGTGGGCACGATGAGAAGAGTGATGGTGGCTTGATAGCAGTCAGGGACCAGAGGCTCCTCCCAGGAGAAGCTGGCCTGAGCTGCCCAGGGAGACATGGGGCAGCATTTGGACCAGACCAGACCAAGGCTGGGGTGTGCAGGGAGACCTACTGGGTGGGGAAGGGGGTTCTCAGGGGCTCTTTAAAGCTCAAGAAGACCTTGCTTGGAGAAATACTGCTCCTGGTGAAGCTGTGGATGGTGGCTGAGAGAGTCCAAGCTTTGGCCATGGAGGTGATGCACGGTGCCACACTGACGGTTGTAACAACCACGGTCACACGCAGCCACCAACTTGCCAGGTCCTGGGGATGCCATGAGCTGGGATGTTGTCCCTCTGCAGTCAAGCCCTTCCAGCAGGGAGCCAGGGCTGCTGGTCCCACCATGTCCACTGGCAGACTCTGCTCAGCGCCGTCAGGGCCAGCCCGCTGCGGCATCTGGGCTGCAGCACGCTGGGAACAGGGAAATATTTCTGGATATCCCTCCAGTGAGGAGCCTGGTCATGGGACCTTGATAAACCCCTTGTCCTCCAACTGAATCCATCAAGCAGCTTGCACCAAATTGTGTAACAAGAGTTTTCACTTAGGAGCTGATCTGACATTTTAATAACGTGTGAAACACTGTAAAATTATTCCTATTACATACTTCCAAATTTCATGGAATAATTTTGGGATTTGTGGGTCTGTGAAAAACTGTGTTATGTCAGGAGCTGTTTTTAAAACTAATCAGGCTAATAGGAACTGGCATGACGTTAGCAGGGACCCTGCGGTGCCCCTCCAGCATGGCCCACGGTGTAAATTTTCCAAATGGCTTCAGCTCTTTTTTCATCCAATCCAAGGCACCAGCACCACTTCATGGTGTAACGAACCACAGGACAGGCCATGAAACCCAAAGCAGGTTCAGCTTGTTACCTAACGTAGCAGCGATTTCATTTGGTTAGTTGGATCAGGAGGGATTTCTTGCCACCTTAATCAAAACTGAGTCTTGCTCCTCCCGCAGCGATCCCACACTGCATCTCTGCTGCTTTCCAACAACCAGGGACCCGGCACCCAAAAGGGGACGGCGGACTCGCACACAGCTATGCTCCACCCGGGAGGCATCCTTACTGCTCCTTAAAACAAAGAAAGTGCCCAGCAATAGTCGAGTGCCCTTAGAAATCACTCGTGCAAAGGGAACATTTCAGCAACGGTAGCTCTGCATTTTTCCTTTTGTTCCCTCTCTTACCATTTTTGTCTCAGTTATGGAGATGGAAACAGTGCAGCTGTGTCAAAGTGCTGCTGTCCTGCTCTCCGCTGGTTCCAGCACGCAGCTCTCATCACACTGCTGGAGGATCCAATTGGAATGTGGGTTTATTCCACGGTTTCTACCAGGATTTGCAAATTTGGTTGACTTGGTCATTTCCACTAGAAAGCACACATTTTTTGCGCAGAGCAGTGCTCACCCTCGGAATTAATTGCTTTTTTTCTTTTGTAATTTTGAAGCAAAGATGAAGGCTTCTTCCCCATTTTGCAAACCCGGCTGCCAACAGCAAGCAGCAGAGATCTCGCTTTCAAGGTGCAAATGAAGGGCAGTGCCATGGGCCACAATGGCCAGCCCTGCCCAGACCCCAGGCTGGGGCTGTCCCCCTCGCCTCCCCCCTGCAGTCACCCGCTCGGTTCCCACCAGGAACGCCTGGATCCAAGCCCCGGAGCAGGGCATGGCATGGTCTTGCCGGGAGGCACTGCACAGGCACGCGTGACTCTGCACTGTGCCTCGGCAGCCCGGGCAGCTTGCTCCAAGCGGGCGCCTGGGAACCGTCTTCGGTACGGCTTCCAGGAGGAGCCGGGGGAGCTCTGATCTCACCGAGCATCCCAGTAAAGCAGGAACGACTCTCTTCCAACTGCGGTGTTATACCCATCCGTCGGAGGAGAATTGGGCCCAGGTGTTTTGTGGCACTTGGTAAACGCTAGTTTTAGTGCAACAAGTAATTGAAATGTCTGGTGCAAATGAAGTTTCTGTACGTAGTTCCTTTGCAGCATAACTGGCTTTATTCCTTCCACACACAAATACCAGCGTGCATGCGAATGCACGTGTCCTGAATTTACCAGGTCTGATGCTGCTGTTTGGGCAAAACTAAAAGCCAGGGCAGGAGAAATCAAATCTATTGGTTTGTCCCAGTGCTGCTGGGTTTTGTGAGCCACTCTCCTGCTCGGCTAGATATGGCAGGAGGTGCTGGTCCTGCCTGCCTGGCTGCCGGGGGGGACATCAGCAGCGAACAACACGAAGCATCCCATCACCTCGAGGAGCCCCACTCCCTCTGCCTTCTCCTCCCACCCATCCCCTGATCCCTCAGCGTCATGGGGGGACGCCCACGTGCAACCCGAGGTGACGTGTCACTAAGGTTTCAGAGCTGGAAACACAGGGCAGTTTTGGCTGCAACCCTGACAGCACAAGAGCTTTGCGCTCGTATGGCTGAGCCTCTAGCCCCGAGTGAGTTTTGGGTCTCTAACGATGATTTGCATCTCAAAAGAAAAGAGCTTTTTTTTTCCTGATTTTGTGATTCTACTTATCGCTTTCTTCCTGCTCCCACTGGAAATCTTGGCCCGTCATTTGGTAAAACATGACATTGAATGGTTTGTAAAACTTCCGCAGTCTGTGGATGACATCTGGGTCTATTTTGGGGTGAGTTCGACCCTTGGATTTGCCCAAGCACCGGGGAGCGCTGCTGTCCTCTGGCTTCTTTAGACAGGGGAACCCCTTGGTTTTATTAAAGTAAAAATGTTTCTCTGTCACAATCCTCTTGAGGCCTAAGAAGTCCTGGACCTTGGCCATTTCCCCGGCTGGGTCAGTTATGAGCCTCTCGCCACTGACAAAAAGGATTTGGGAGAGGGGGAAGTACTGGAGCCAGTTCTCCAAGTGCAGCGCATAGATCCCGATGCGGATCGCGCTCCAGGAGGCATCGATCAGCCCCAGGGTCCGGTTCTTGAAGGCCAGCACCTCAAAGGTGGGGATCTCTGGCTTCTTGGAGAGTGTCTGAGTGTAGTGTCCAAGTGCTGCGGGGTTTTGTGAGCCACTCTCCTACTCGGCTAGATATGGCAGGAGGTGCTGGTCCTGCCTGCCTGGCTGCCGGGGGGGACATCAGCAGCGAACAACACGAAGCATCCCATCACCTCGAGGAGCCCCACTCCCTCTGCCTTCTCCTCCTCCCACCGATCCCCTGATCCCTCAGCGTCATGGGGGGACGCCCACGTGCAACCCGAGGTGACGTGTCACTAAGGTTTCAGAGCTGGAAACACAGGGCAGTTTTGGCTGCAACCCTGACAGCACAAGAGCTTTGCGCTCGTATGGCTGAGCCTCTAGCCCCGAGTGAGTTTTGGGTCTCTAACGATGATTTGCATCTCAAAAGAAAAGAGCTTTTTTTTTCCTGATTTTGTGATTCTACTTATCGCTTTCTTCCTGCTCCCACTGGAAATCTTGGCCCGTCATTTGGTAAAACATGACATTGAATGGTTTGTAAAACTTCCGCAGTCTGTGGATGACATCTGGGTCTATTTTGGGGTGAGTTCGACCCTTGGATTTGCCCAAGCACCGGGGAGCGCTGCTGTCCTCTGGCTTCTTTAGACAGGGGAACCCCTTGGTTTTATTAAAGTAAAAATGTTTCTCTGTCACAATCCTCTTGAGGCCTAAGAAGTCCTGGACCTTGGCCATTTCCCCGGCTGGGTCAGTTATGAGCCTCTCGCCACTGACAAAAAGGATTTGGGAGAGGGGGAAGTACTGGAGCCAGTTCTCCAAGTGCAGCGCATAGATCCCGATGCGGATCGCGCTCCAGGAGGCATCGATCAGCCCCAGGGTCCGGTTCTTGAAGGCCAGCACCTCAAAGGTGGGGATCTCTGGCTTCTTGGAGAGTGTCTGAGTGTAGTCCGAGATGGCCCGGGTGACCGGGTTCCTCACCACCACGATCAGCTTGGTGTCCTTAGCCATGGAGTGAATGCGCCTGGGGGCCTCGTTGGTCACAAAGTAGCTGGGGGTCTTCTCCATGGTGATCTGGCCATCCAGTGTCTTGGGCATCACGTTCCTGCGCAGAAGCAGAGGGGTGATTAGCAAGGGGCCAGGCACGGGCAGACACCTCGGTGTTCCTCCTGCCCCATGCAGGTCTTGGTGGGACGTTCAGGAGGAGGGATGCTGCCACACCTGTGTGCCCCAGGGACCAAAACACTTCTGGCTTGCTTTCTTCTCGGACCCTGGACATGGTGGGCACCCGAAGTGTTAAATCAGCCTTGGTAACACATTATACAGTCAATTCGCCATAGGCATATGTAGACAAAAGTTAATTGACAATAAACCTGTACAATACCTGTCTGTTCAGCAAGCCATCTGCTTCCATTTGCTCAATTAAGCCTATTCACTTCAGAGCCTTGTACCAGAGTGGTGCAGTTAGGATTACACAAGACCTTTTTGTTATGATGACATGCTTTTAAATGTCTCAGCTAATAAAACTTAATACAGAATAAGATCCCTTGCTTCTAGTACAATAATTAAATTTATTTACTATCTTGTGTGTGAGAAAGAATGACTTTTCTTTTATCTCTAATTCACATGCTCTGTCAATAATTAATTGCTGCTGGGTTTTGAGCTTCCTGTGCAAGCACTTTTATTAGCCAAAAGGAATTTGCCTACTGGATAAATTAGCATGTACCAAGACTTTCCTGGATAGCATATTACCATATTGTAAAATGAAACTGAAGCGAGATAGCATTTATATCTAAGAAAATGAAGAGGTAAATGCTTGTCCCAGCTGCCCCCAGTTAAAGACTATCATAGCAAGCCGGAAGGTATTAAATGATGTCCCCTGCAAGAGCACGACAGCCTCCTTCACGCCTCCTCAGCCTCCAAGTGCTGGAGATGTTGGAGGGCAGTGCCACGAGCATTACCCACCTCCCACTCCCACACGTGCCGTGGCCACGGCTGTGGCCAGCCCCAGCCCTGCTGCCATGTCCCCTCAGCCACCCGCTGTCATCCGCAGTAGAGATGCCCGAGTGAGGATCCCGAAAGCCGTGAAACGCCCTGCCTCACCCGCCAGCAGTGACCCCATGCGGGGACTGACCTGTGCAGCACGGAGCCCCCGCCACCCTTCCCAGCCCTTCCGCATGGACCAGGCGAGGGGAGACAACGCAGGAAGCCACGGAGCCATGGCACCCGCATGTACAGCTGCGTCTGCCAGAGTGCTCCTGCAAGGAATTCCATACCTGCAGTGTTCAAAGGCTTTATAGGCACAGTACTGACTGTTCTTAAGTGTGTTTTAACAATATTTTTATCTTAAGCCTTTCAAATACTCGTGCCTCGGCACACCCACACAAAGAGTAGTTTGTTTAACCTGTTGTTGGCTAATTTGTCCCGAAGACGCGGTGCCTGACGGTGCTGCTGCCCGGGAGGCAGGAGGAGGAGCGGTGTCACTGCTCCAGAGAAGCGCTTGCAGCACTGGCCAAGTCTCCCACAGCAGAGAGGGAGGATGGCGATGCTCAGGGTCTTGCAGGATTATCCCTTCACTTTGCAACTATATTTAGTTCAAACATATGGTGAGGAAACAACGTGAATAGGCTGGAAATGGTTCTGTAAGAGCACCTTGGGCACCGGCGACCGCAGTGATGCTGACGTCAAACCGTTGAGCCCCAGGAAACAGCCATTTCAGGAATTATGCAGCCGGAGTCTGCAAGCAGAAGTGGCTGTCAGGCAAAGTTAGATTTGCCTGTCAGTGTCGCCTTGTATTTGTGACTGCTAAATGCATCGGCGCGCTTTAAAACTCCCTGTAATCTGTGTATTTACTGCTGGTGTAATCCATCCAGCTGCGCTCGTTTTGCCAAAGCGCCACTGGAGGAGGTGCCAGGTCTCCGGTCAAGGCAGGAGCGAAGGTGGGTTTGGTGTTGCCACAGGGCTGCTCGTGCCTTCAGCATTTTTTGGGGTGAAGAGGCCAGCGGGCTCCTGTGGCTCCCCCTCTCCTGCAGCCAGCATCTTTCCTGGTGAAAAATCCCTAGCTGAGTCCTGGCAACGGGGGTGTGCAGGGGAGCGGGGCTGCAGGGCTCCAGCTCAGTCGTCACAGGGCCAGCGAGCTGGTGGCCTGGCCCTGCCAGGGAGCTTGTCCCTCCAGGGTCGTGTCCCACCTGAGCTGCCTTCCTGACGCGATGGGCTGTCTTCAGTCCCATCTGCACTTCAGTACTTTGATTCTGCCTTGCATCAGCCATTTGAGTAGCAGTGACATGCAAGGAGCAAGGATTACTTGGAACGATGCATCTTGAGGTATTTTACCTTAAGAAAAGCCTGAGCAAATTAAGAGGGATGCAAGCACTTGAGGACTGCAGAAGCTGCAGAATTAGACTGGCTTTCCCGGGGGGGGGATCCAGCATCCAGATTTAACCACCCTGTGGGAAGACAGCATCTTGTATGGCTATCCACATCACAGCAAGGCCCACAGCATGATCAGGGATTGAGTCCTCAGGTGCTCACTCCTGTACAAATAGGGCACCCTTCGGCTGAGCGTGAGGTTGTGTAAGGGGGCGGTGTGAGGAAAGTGCACAGAAAATGAGACCAGGAGTTGAGTATGTGGGCAGGCAGCAGTTGTCCCAAGGAGGACCAGAGTAGAAGTGCTCCCTGCTGCTCTCTGAAAGTGTCTGATGGACAGCAGAGCATCACTGATGGCCGGAGCAGGGGTTCCCCTCCCCAGCACTGCACAGCACCCACGCACCAGCTTGCCAGCCCGGCCGGGGGCAGCGGGCAACTGGGCAGAGGCAGCACCAGCGTCAGGGAGCAGCAGCTGAGAGCCGACCCTGCGAGGGCATCCCACCAACCTCACGGAGCTGTGCCAGGGCTCACCTGACTTCTCAGTCTCTGCGTGATTCTGACCGGTGTTTGTATCCCCACAGAAATCACATTCTGTCAGCAGCACGTCTCTGAAAGCGACTAGCCAAAGATAACCCTCAATTTCAGGATGTGACCCACTGCAGAAATCTCTCCGCTCTCTGCCCTCAGCAGGCTCTGCCTTTGCATGCACAGAGAGCTTCCAGTGCACCAGTCCTTTCTGTGTTGACCACAAAATACAAGCGTGGCGGTTTAAAATTGCCTGTTTGATTTATTATTATTATTTTTATTTTATTTATTTATTTATTTTTAACATTGCTTAACAAACTTGAAACTGAAATGCTAAAATTCCTGCATGGAAATTAGGTGTCGGTCTTGATGCAACAGAGCAGTGGAAGGAAGGAGGAGAGCCGGGGGGATGAACGGGAGGAGGGATGGAGGCTGGCGGGGGCTGCCGCAGACAGCACCGCTCTGTGCGGCCGCTCTCGCAGCCCCGGTGCCAATCGCTGGTGGCTGAGGAGGGGGAGCGGTCCACCTCCAGCCAGGGCTGGCACTTCAAACCACTTTGGCAGCGGCTGGAAGCGGTTTCCGGCCCTGTTGGGATGAGCACTGCACACAGACTGAGCCACAATCCCTGCCCTGAAGAACTTCCAGAAGAAGCGTGGGAGCCCATGAGGAGGAGCGGCAGCCAAACGGTGCAGGAGGCAGCGCCTGTGGCTGTCCTTGGGGCTGTGTGATCGCCTTGGAGAGCACACGGAGTCGTCAGGCAAAGAACTGAGACCAGGGAATAAAGGCACTTCCAACCCAATGACTTTGCCCAGGGTGCTCCCAGAACAGGTTTCTATTGTACCACTAATTACCAAAATCAATCTGTTACTCTTCTGTTCCTTGCTCCACAAAATAGTTATTTTATCATCACTTATAGCTAGTAATTTGTATGCGTTTCCTTTTCAAGGGATTCTATCACGAGCTAGCCACAGACCACATTTTAACCCCGCTGCTTGCTGTCCTGTGCTAATATCCAGCGCACCTCCAGGTCCCAGAGGTGCCAGCCCCCGGGGACAGAGGTATGGCAGCCCGGGTGGTGGCTGGGAGTCGCCTGTCTTGAACACTGGTCCGCAATGGGAGTGCCTGAGGAAGGACTGAGAATCTCTCAACCAACTATGGGATCGCTCTGCCCGTGCTCCTTTCCTCCTGATTCCTATCAATGAAGACGTAATGAAGTCCTGAAGGAGAAAGCTTTAATATTGCTTCTCAGCCTCTGTAGTTAGTGGCAACTCTAGATATGGCTGACATGCACAGAGGTGTCCAGTCCCTCCTGTGTCTTGCTAAATTCTGTGCTCAAAGACATCAAGCAGCAACAAGCTCCACAGACTTGTCCTTCAGTGCTCGGGCAGCGTTTCTCCTTTGTGCTGGCTCTGTATTCACTGCTGTCCTGCTCCGCCAGGGTGGGAGAGCGGAGCTCTCCGCCTTCTCCCTTTATCCCAACCTTCATTTTATACCACGGTAAAGCCTGAAAGACCAGCTCCACTGCTCCCCTTGCCACCTCTCCACAAGAATACTGAAGATCTCTGTTCACAGCAGGTTCTCCCGTAGCATCCCTTCCCGGCCAGGGGCATGTTTGATCCTGAGCTGATAAGGGGATGCTTTAGGGAGGTTGACCTGCAGCAGTCGTTCCTGCTCCTGCTGCTCCAGCTGGGAGCTTGGAGCGGGGCTTTGAGACAAGAGGGTCAAATAGGACCAACGAGATTGCAGTGAACCTGTGGCATGTGGCGCTACGGGGAACAGGAAGAGGCAGCTCCGACTGTTGAGTGATTTTTCAGCTAAGACAGTGGCAGCCTGGATAACAGGAGAAGTAGCAGTGTGTGAAAGTCCTTCCGCCTTGCAAATGGTGCTGGACTGCCAGGCAAGCACAAAACGCTATTACCCCATGGTGTTCAATTAGCCCGACACCCGCGCAGCAGCAGCTCACGCTTGTTTGTGCCGCCTCAGACAGGATAAGCTGTTTTCCTTTGCAACTGCCTGAGCAGAAGGAAGGACCGGCACAGACAGGCTTGGCTGGTGTACGCTCCTCTGAGTCAGACACCCTGGCAGCATGCAGCAGGCTGTCAAATGTCAAAATGTGGTGATTATGAGATGCTAAAAGCTCTGCTGGACTATCAGACAATAGGGCTCGAGGGGACCATTGCTATCGTCTGCTCTGACCCTCTGCATGGCACAGCA